CCAGGAAAGCAGCCGGGCAGCGTGGAGAGCAGTGCCCTGCAGGTAAGTGTGGGGGGGAAGGGGAGGGAAGGAGCATTTTGCGGGGGTGGGGGGCAGTGTCAGATTGAGGCCTTCACAGTGAGGGAGCAGGGCAGGGGCTGGGGGCACTGCCTAGCCAGGGCAGCAAATGGGACCTGGGACATGACCAAGCCAAGGGCTGCCTGTTGTGCGCATGTGGCCACTCCCTGCTCCTGTGCACCCCCAACCCCCTGAGGCATGGGGGTAAGTATATGCCCCCCTGCCAGACTTTGTGTGCATGTTAGATGCAAGCGGACTGCCTACTGTGCGGTTGGGCCTCTGTTGCCTTTCCGTGGGAGCTGACTGCACATTGCCTGCCTGGCAGTAGTGGGGGCAACAAGCTGTGCCTCCCACTGCTGGGCAGGCAGATATGCGCCAACTCATGGGGCAAAGGCAGCATGGCAGAGAACACTAAGCCCACTTCCACCCTTGACCTGCTCCCCTTTGCTTCTGAATGCATCCCTGTAGCAGTGCTTGAACTAAAACTCATTTGATGTGCCCCCACTACCATTTTTAAACAGCAGGATGCTGATCTCTTGGACAAGCTGCAAGCAGCAATGTCTGGCCCCCTGCCCCACTCCCTCCTCAACTGGGGGCCTCAATCTGCTCCCCCCACACCCCTCCCAAGACCTAGTCATAGTCCTTAGGGGCTGGAGGGGACCTTACAGATCATAGGGTCCAGCCCCCCTGCACTTGAGCAAGAAAGACTGCTGGGATCAGATGGCCCCAGCAAGGTGGGTGTCAAGCCACTTTTTGAAGAGCACCAGGGTAGGTGACTGCCACTTCTGGGGGGAGCCTGTTTTAGACCCTCGGCACTCAACTGGTAAAGAAGTTTTTCTTTATGTCCAGTGTGAAGCGATCTTCAGTCAGTTTGGGCTTACTGTTTCTTGTCCTCCCTTGGGGGGTCTTGGTGAACAGATGCTCCCCCTGGCCCTGACACATGCCCCTGATATAAGCTGCCACTAAGTTGCCTCCGAGTCTTCCCTTCTCCAGGCTGAACAGGCCCAGGTCTTTCAGCTTGTCTTCGTATGACCTGCTCTCTGGACCTTTAAGCGTGCATGTGGCCCTCCTTTGGACTCACTCTGGCTTCTCCACATCCTTGCTGAAGTGCAGCACCCAGAACTGGACTCAGTACTTCAGCTGTCGCCTCACCAAGGCCAAGCAGAGCAGGTGGATGACATCCTTCACCTTGCGCGAGATGCCTTGGGGGATGCATAGGACTATTTGATTTGTTCTACCAGCTACGGCATTGCATTGGTGGCTTGCTTGTTCTGTGGTCTATTGCGACACCCAGGTCTCATTCAGTTGTGGAACTGGCAAGTGTAGCACGGCTGAGCCTGTAGCTGAATTGCAGGTGATTTCTCCCCATATGGAGCCCTTTACACTTCTCCATATTAAACATCATCAGGTTAAGATCCACCCACTGTGCAAAACTGTCCAGGTCAGCAGTATTGCCAGCTTGTCTTGAGCTGTTACCATGCTCCCCTGTAATTTGGTATTGTTTGTGAGCTTTGCCAGTTCACTTTTAATACCTGAATCCAAATTGTTGATGGACATATTGAAAAGCACTGGTCCAAGTACTGAATCCTAAGGGACAGCACTGGTCACCTTCTGCCATGACAACTCAGTTCTGTCAGTCAGTACCCTTTAGGTCCTACCACAGAGCCAGTTACCTAGCTACTTGGCTGTAAAGTAGTTCAGGCTGCATTTTCCCAATTTTATCATGAAGACATCATGGGAGACTAGGTCGAAGGCTTCAAGTATATGACCCCATTTCCCTTACCCAGGTGGCAAGTTGGGCATGACCTGCCCTTAATAAAGCCGTGCTCTGCCCATAATGAAGTCTTGGTGCCTGTCCTTTAGAATATGGCCTTCTGTTAGCCTATCAATAGTGGATTCTCTGATAATTTTTTTCCAGGATTTCATCAGGGATCTAGATCAAACTGATTGGCCTGTAATTCCCTGGATCCTCCTTTCTTGAAGATAGGCACCTCATCAGCCCTCTTCCAGTTTTTGGGACCTCTCCTGAGTGCCGTGAGTCTTCAAGTAACTTTGCCTTAGGTCATACGATGATGTCAGCCAGTTCTTTTAGCATTCTCAGGTGTAGTTCATCCGGTCCTGCTGACTTGTAGATATTCAGCCTCTCTAGGCATTCCGCCACAAGATCTTCATCAACTGTGGGAGGGTAATCACCCCCACCTTGATCATCTTATGTCCTGTCAAGCAGGCTAACACCATTGGACTGGTGGGATACCAACACAAGAGTATTCCTTTAGGAGTTTGGTTTTGTCCTGAGTGTTGGTTAGCAGCTGTCCTATTTCATTTATCAGGGACTTGCCTGCAGAGCTGCTCTCCATGCTGCCCAGCTGTGCTCCTGTAAAGTGGTTATTGGACTGGTATTGGCAGATATGCCTCATGAATAATTGGCTATTGGTGCACCCCTATTTATAACCTGAAATGTAAAACTGAAAGCTACTGGAGAGCAGAGTCTCAGACACACGGTAAGACTCCTCTGGCCACAGCCTTTCAGTGATGGAGGGTCTGAATTAAACACACTTCCGTCATGAGTACATAGTTTATTATGACATTGATCTTCAGCAGCAGATGACTCCTTTCCAAGGACTACTGGACTTGCCTCTGCCTCTTGCAGTTTCTCTGCAGCGGGACAGATGAGAGCACCCACCAGCTGCAAGCCCTGGGGCAAGACAGGCCCTGGCCCTGCACACCAAAGGGGAGCTGGGGGCAGGCAGCCCTTGCTCAGAGTGAAGGGAGGTCCCCTCCCTGTACCCCAAGCCCCAGCAAAAGGGTCCTGCACACACAGCATTTCCCACCTACTGGATTTCAGCAAGCTCAGCCTCAAGTGGATTGTTACCTACTTGACTGCTGCACCAGTCCCTGTCTGGTTGGGGGCATATTAGAGCCCCTTTTCCATTGCCTGCCACTGCAACTGCTCCCTAGTGCAAGTGTAGAAATTAACTAACAAGACCATAGATAATAGTGTAGAAATTAACTACAAAGCAGACTCAGCACTTCAAGGACACAGGCTGATAAGACTCTGGAATGACCAAATCCTAGTCGCCTTGAAGTCTGAAGCAATCAAGGATGTGTAGCCCTCCTCCCTATTAGTTAGCATGTCAAAAAACAAGCATGTAGCCAAAAACCAGTTTGAAACAATTAAGAATTTCTCACACTGACCTGATATTTTGTTTTCTTTCACAGTGGAAAATTCCCACCTGCACGGGCATCTTGTCTGTAAACTATAAATCACCTCTAACAGTTTTATTCAGGGCCTCTGAGCTTGCTCAGGGTGCCCAGCATGCTGAATAAAATTTGAGACTGACAGCGACTCTGTCTCTTTGGGAACAGCTCCGCAAGGGGTCACGAACTCCTCAACACAAGGCCCACCATGATCGGGGATTCACAAGGGGTGTGCTGAAGCACGCTGACCACAAATCAGGGATTTGTGAAGGAGTTGTGTTTGGGAACATGCTGGTGCCTTGTCTCAGTCCTAGCTGGTGTGTGGTACAAAACAAATGGTGCTGCTGTCAGTGTTTCTCTACGCAGGCTTCAGGATGTGCCTGCAGTCTGCAGGGTCCCGGTGCTTGGTGGGCCAATTCTCCCTCATAGGCTCCATGTTGCCAATTCCTGCACTGGGAGGAACAAAGCCTGGCTTAGACCTGGACTTGCACAGCCTAGATTTCGGTGTAGAACCACGCAACACAAATACCAGGGAAGGATAACATAAAACTGGTTAAGGATCTAGTTAGCTGTGTTTTTTTTTTTTAAGAAAAAAGAAAAGGTTTTACACACAACAAGACTTAAAAGGGGCTTTATTTTTGTTTAAATAAAATGGAGGTTAACAGGAAAATGTTTTATATTGTGCACTTCATTTAGATATCTGGTGCCCATTTCCTGGTTCTGTGCAACTGCTCTTAGGAGCCTGTCACTTGCTTGGCTAATGTTAAGGACATATAAGCTTCAGCTTTTTAAAAATACTGAACTGAGAAAAATAGTTTGGGGGGAGGGGGTTCACTGTTTTAAGGCAGCCAGTAGTGGGCATATTTACATACATACTTACTGCTGTCTAAAACAACTTGCAGGAGTTGCAGATAAACTGCACCATACCTCAAATCTTCGTCCTGAGGTTTCCAGTTCATCCTTTATTTGCTCCCTTGCAGTTTGATCCTTGGGCTGTCAAGTGTGTCATGCAGAAGTGGAACAGACTCACTTGAAAAGTTTGTCATGCTGTCGTGAGAGAAAGTCTTGAATTTGCCGAGACTATCCACTTCTTTTATTTATGGGAGGCTTAACCAGTGTATAAAACTGGAATATCCAACGAGAAATAAAAGCATCAGCTCCTGTTGCTCCGAAAGGGAGAAAATGGTTGCTCAGCTATCCCTCCAGGGCAGGAAGTGGGCAGAACTTCTTGGGTGCCTGTATACAAGTGCGGAGGCTGTTCTGGCACGCTGTAATTACAGCATGTTGGAGCAGACTCAATTAATTGAATCTGCGGAGTGTGGCCATTACCACACTCCAGCAGCCTCCTGCGTCTCGTGCATCAGTATTCCCGCACTTCAAAACGGCAGTGGGGGCGCTTGAACTAAAGCTTGTTGAGTGAGTTTAATTCGAGTGCCCCTGCTGCCATTTTGAAGCATGGGGCCACTGATACATAAGACACTGCGGTGCTTTAATTAGAGTGGCTAATTAAAGTCTCCCACCCCCACAGCAGGTGTAAAAACACCTCCCATATTAGTATCCTCAACAGCGATTACTGTTTGGGTGTGGCACTTTGTTTTGGAGCAGGCTAAAGGACAAATTAAGCCCTTACTACTCAGATGTCTGATTCTGGGTATAGAAGTGCCCTGGTACTTCTGAAAGTTCAGATGAAGAAATTCCTTAAAAAAAATTTGTTCCTTGCAGCATAAGAAATATTAGAGCCAGGATTTCACTGGTAACACCTTTTTAATAGGTCAAAGTAACTGTACAGTTCATTATATTCTTCCTGAGAATAATTTATATCCCCCAACAACCAAAAGGGAGTGTGGTTTTTATTGAACAGAACAGATGGTATAACTGGTAAACCAAAGAAAATAGTCACACTGCTCTGCTGTAACTCCTCCCAGGCAAGATAGACACAAAGATGGGTTAGTTAACTACAGTGGGTTTAAAATATTCAACATGGCTTTAATCTTTCTTTATAAATTATATAAAAAATGGGGAACATGTATGGTTACAGAATCTCTCTTCTAAATGCAGCTCTGGGTTGCTCTGGTACAAAGCAGCATTTTTGCTGCCGAGGAAAATAACATTGCTACAAAAAACTGGCACGTTATTCTGGTGAAAAAGACATACAAGAGTTTTCAGTTGTGTCTACAGCTAGTTTCCAAACAAATGCTTCACATATCCACATAAAAGTAAAAGGCAGGAAGATGAAGAGGGCTTTAGTTTGTTCTGAAATGACTGAAGTCTTGAAAATATAGCTTTTTTATTTTCTCTGTAAATCGTGATTAGCATATTGCGACGTAAGTGTTCTAATAAAAAAGGTTCCAGTCTGGATAGTTCGCATACTGTGGGCAAGAATTCTCAGCCCTGAGGTTTCCCAGAATTCTTCACTTCACAATATCTTTCTTCAGTCTGCTGCTTGGACAATTCTGGCTCTGAGATTTAACCCCTGGGCAGCATTAGGGTAAGCATGTCCTATGTGATCACGTAAAATTTAACTGCGTTCCCAAGTCACCACTTCCAAGGGCTTCTGTACAAACTTAATTCTGTGATAATGCCACATTTTTAATCTCAGACCATGTTGGCTTTTTGATAAAAACTTGGTTTAAACTTTCATAAGAGAAAACCAACACTTGTCAGTCAGATCCGCTGAAGCAGGAGTCACTGGAAATCCAGGACTATGCAAGGCTAATCCCCCCACTGCTGGTCGAAGGCTAGATAACACCCTTGCACGAGCAGTATTCTTGAACCGATAGACAAGAACTCTCTCCTCGGTATTTAGTGGGGTCTGGACTGGCCAATCATTTTCAGTCTGGCTTGATCAATAACATCCAGCAAGTTTTTGGCATCTACAGCCAGAGCGTGAGCAGCTGTGAGCATTTGCTTTTTGTATTCCTGCTGCAGGCTGGTCATGACATATTGCTGTGCCAGCTTCATCTTGTTAATGAGTTCGGCCAAGTCAGAGTTCAGCAGCTTCTGTGCCATCTCGATCTGAAAAGACAAGACGCAGTCAGGCTGTAGAAACTGATGTTCACAGGAAGCAAACCATTGGGAGTCTGCACCCAGAATGGCATCACAGACCACATCCCCCCGCCCCACAAACAAGATCACTACCATCGTGGTGAAACTCGGTCACTGGGGTTGAGATTTCGGTTGCCATTTCAACAGCAGGAGATTAGAGCAGGGTAACAGTGTGAAGCCTCTCTCAAGACTCGAATAACTTCCTCATAATATGGAGCACTACATACAGTTAGGTTGCGTCTTGTCCAATGCAAACTACATCCTGAACTTGCTCTCTTATGCCTCTGAACAGCCACTGGAGGTTAACAGGCATCGGACCCTATTCATCAGGGCTGGATTTGAACCTGGGTCCTAGAGAATAGGTTTCCATTTTGCCCTGAATCATTCTCTCAGCCTCTCTCTCCCCATTAAATTATGTTTATTGATACTCCAAGCAATAACAAAATATAATAGAAATAAAGATGCAAGCTGCAGCTTGTTTAAACAAGTCCCACAGCAGGCGAGGTAGCTGTCTGGAAGGAGGGTCACTTGGCATCTCTGCTGCACGGGGTATTGTGTGCTTTGAGTATTCTCAGTGCCTGCAGTTCCTCCGAGATCTTGTGTGCACAGACACAGCTCCAGGGAAGATGACGGACCCGGGCTCACTGGGATCTGGTCTGCAAGCAGGGAAGTAGCTGAGCCACTGTTGCTTCGAATTAGGTCACTGCTGGGCATTTTTTGGGCAAGAGCTGCCAACGGCCACACTAGGAGATCTGTTTAATGAGTTTTGTGTGCAAATCATAATTCAGTGAGATGTGCTGAACTGGCACCCAGGAATTAATACCCAGGTGATGCCTCCAAATAAAAATCCTAACTTCTACGTAGGCACTGTAAGCACTGTACCCCAACTCCTCCTGTGTCACGCATGCTATTTTCTGACATGGAATTCAGCAGTTTGCACTGGCAGGCAGGATACGGCCCATGTCCACAGAGCAATGTAATGATTAAGATACCAAACGCTATCGGAGGGGTCAGTGCCCAGAACACAACATGTGGTCGGGGTGCGGTGAATGAATCAAAAGGTTCTAACATTTCTATTTTTTAGAATAGGATGTGATACATGTCCAGATACCGACTGACACTGGTATTGAGGATGGCTGCAGACTCACCGACTGCCCCCAACTGTGGGTTAGAATAGGAGCACACTTTACATACCTCTCTGTGGGTGCTTGCTGGGAGCACTGGAATGGTTTCATCTACAGTTGCGAGCAAAGTTCTCAGTGCCAAACCAACCTCCTAATGAAAAATAAACCAGGACAGAATGCAGTTCAGTATTCACTACTGTTTTGTGGCTTAAATACCACTTTTACGCGCTATTTTATTTCCTTTTAGGTACATCATTTATGCATGTGGAAACAAACACCTCGGTAGCAAACACTAAACATTTAAAACTTCTTTTGGATGTCAAAGTATTTAGGGTGAGAATAATAATAATAAAAAAGGCTTAGTCTGGATTTTACCAGTGACCTCAATGCAAACAGAGTTAGAGCAATGCTGCTGAACAGCTGAAAATCCTACCCTTATTTCTTTGGTTATGTTAAATTTCACAAGAAAGAAAACACGTAGCTAGCTTAGCATAAGGCACATGCGGTATATATACACACTGTATTCAACTGACTTTGGCTGAAATGCTTATATCAAGGGATTATTTTAAAAATACTAATTTTTCTTTAAAAAATGGAGAGAAAATGTAGCACAGTAAATCCTTCATGATCACAGGCAGTCAAGGAAGATGTTGTTAACTGTAATGCTATTTCAGGAGCTCTCGTAAAATGAATGTCCAGACAGGCGAACAAGATTTATAGTAATATCTTTCACTGGGCAAACTTCACAGCTGGGGGAGAGGTTAAGCAAACTTTCGTGCACAAAACCCCCTTCTCTCGGGTCTGAGGAGGAAACGGACAGTGTCAGCTAAACAATGAATGGTAAAGTACAGCAATGGCACATGTTAAACCCTATTATGACATTGTCTAGCAAGTTCTGCTTCTCACATAGGCCCTGACCATCAGCGCTTACAGCCGCCCTAGCGCAGGTAGGCAGAACTGGGCATGTGCACCGATGCAGACAGACAGCTTGTACTGTCAAGCTTTTCGGTCTGTAACATTTCTGATAACTGGTGCCTGTCAGGACAGATGTAAAACACTGACTGCACGAAACATCCTCTTCCTACCTTCACCATGGGCACGTACTCCTCTGGAGGGGCTGGTTGGATTTTGCTGGACATTTCTATTACAGCTTTCACCAATCCAGTGACATTCTCGTATACCTTATCATTGGAGCGGTCCAAGTTGGCAGTGGGAGGAGGGCTGATTTCCTGCGGCTGAATCTGAAAGCAGAAGAGATGTTGCTGTCTTCTCTTCCTCCAGCAGATGGTGCTCGGCTACTGCACCCAACACCAACCTGGCGGCAGCAAGCAGATTAATGCTGCTAGCTTATGATCAAGTCTTCCCCACCAAAACCCAGCCTCCGATTGGGCTGTGTCGCTGAAGGCATTTTGGGCTAAATGCAATTTTCTGCCCGAGCTCAATTAGCAAAATGAAGTCAAAAGAACTTTACACCATGAACCTGAGAAGCTCCCAGAGCAGAGAAAGCAGCCTCGGGATCACAGGTTGTGCAGGACTTCTCATCCCCACCTGCAGCACGTTTCAAGAGGCTCTGTCCTGCAGGGAACAGTCCCTTGGCACTTCTGCAGAAGTCCACCTCCCAGGTGCAGATTTCATGATGCAAGGTCTAGGGGGCAAACTGGGCACTTGGCGCCACTGGTTCTATCAATACACTGGATTTCTCGGTTACAAGCTCAGATGGCATATTCCCTCCTCCTGAGATTCACCCGCACAGATAGACAGAGCTGCACAAATAGTTTCTTCTGACAGAGAGGCCCTGACTCTTAGCTGCCTTGCACCTCCAAAGTCATGTATGCCGGTGGCCCACTGCCAAACTCTGGCTCTGCTTCACGCTCTTTGCACTCATTCTGCCTCGGAGCAAAGAACACCACAGTGCTGGCAATGGAGTGCCAGCCCTGACATCTTCAGGCAATTGTTTTCAGTCCTGGCAACTGTGCTGAGGGTACTGACTCAGCATTACACTCAGGAGAGAGGAGGGGACTGCAGGGTACATGGTTATTGGTGGAACTGCATGGAAAATTAAGGAAAATTGAGGAGTGGGGGGGATTCTTATCGTTTCACTGCGAGTGTCAACGCTGCAGGTAACGAGGCAACGTCTTCAAATACCCTTTCCAGGACGTTGGAAAGAGACTGGGCCAAATGCTGCACACCTTACTCATGCAAAACTCCCACTAAATTGCAGCTGGCTCAAGCTGAATCCGAGCAAGACTGAGGTGACCCTGCCAGGAGGAGGGGTCACATTTCGCAGACCTTGCTTTCTCTGTGCAATCTCTCCTCTTGGCACCACTTTTGCTTACACCAGGGATGCTCAACCCCCGGCCCATGAGCCCAAAACAGCCCTTGGCTCCATTTCATCTGGTCCATGAGGCTCTGTGGGGAGCCCTGTGGACTGTGGCCCTGTGCGTTATGGTCAAGTGTGTACCCAACCCAACCCAGTGCATGGGGGCAGTGCAGGGCCCCCCTGAGACCTAAACCCAGTTGGGCAGGGGTGGCACAGGACCCCAGGAGCCCAATCACAGCTAGGTATAGGCAAAGTCCCCTGTTGTCTCCACCTGGCCCTCACGTGCAGGATTGGGGATCCTGCAATGCCCCCACCTTGGGCAGGATTGGGCTCCAGCCAGGTGGAGGCAGTGCAGGCCCTGATTCTGGCACATGGGGGAAGAGGTGTGGGGCCCAATCCAGCCTGGAGACTGCCCCTGTGCCATTCATCTGGCCCACAGGGCCAAAACTGAGAGCACTACTGGCTTAGATTGTAAAGATGGTCTGCTATGCTTGATGCTAATGAATGACTACATGGGGAGGACGAAAAGGAGAAAAAGAAAGCCCAGGGACCTGGCCGCACAGCTGCACCCTATCCTGAGCAGCACTGAGGCCATCCAAGCATCCTGAGCCTTTAGGTTTGAAAACCTGAACTCTTTCTACCTGGGGGCAAAGCTAGACCCTGAAAGAACAAAGTGCAAAAACAAAACACAGGTTCCCCCCGAGGACTCTGCACTATTCCCCTTCGAATACAGGATTTGGGTCGAGGTTTTGGTCCTAGTAAGTAAAGCCCTCCACGAACCCAACCCCAGTTACCTGTCACTGGTTCCTTGCCACTCCCTCTGTGACCAGGACAAAGGAGACAAAGGCTCAGACTGCCGATCTCAGTCTCCAAAGGGAGCGCTCTAGGACTCTGCCACTCCAGAGTAAAAGCTGAACTCTCTTCTGTGACTCGGCTCCCCAATAATTTCACTCACTTGTGCCAACCACAAGCAAAACTATTCAAGCTTAGCCAGCTACAGAAGGGAAAGGCAAAGACTTTTTCCAAACCATATTTTTAGGTACTGAAGGAGCTCATACATTAACATGTCTTTTCTAATGCGCATTAAAATTCACGGGCCCCAATGGGAGGCCTATGCATGAGCAGGGAGGCTGCTCCAATGCCAATGCGCTGGAATACCAGTGCATCGGAGCAGACTCAATCAATTAGAGTCTGCTCCAGTGTGGCAATTACGGCACTCCAGCAGCCTCCTGCATCTCGCGTATCAGTGTGTCCGTGCTTCAAAATGGCAGCACAGGAGCTTTATCTAA